AAATATTGTAAAAATATTATGAAAACCCACTTTAATAAACCATTAAAAATGACCTCTGATGATGAAAAAGAATTTAAAAAAGCCGATGAATGTCACATCTGTAACAAAAAATATACTAACAAAGATATTCGAGTTCGAGACCATTGTCATATCACTGGCAAATACAGAGGCTCGGCACATCAAGATTGTAACTTAAAACTTAGAATAGACTCTGATAAATTAAAGATCCCAGTAATATTTCACAATCTACGTGGGTATGACAGTCACTTCATAATGCAAGAGATCGGAGCTATTGTTAATAAGCATACATACAAAAACAAAAAAGGTGAGGAAACGCATATGAATATAAATGCTATACCTAATAACATGGAAAAATATATGGCTTTCATGTTAGGTAACCATTTAACATTTCTTGATAGTTTTCAATTTATGAGCTCTAGTTTAGAAAAGCTTGTTAGTAACCTACCTAAAGAATCGTTTAAATACACCTCTAAGCAGTTTAAAGGTGAAAAACTTAATTTAATGACTAAAAAAGGTATATACCCATATGATTATATGGATAGCTTTAAAAAGTTTGATGAGGGGTTGCCTTCAAAAAAAGACTTTTATAGTATTCTTACTAATGAAAATATCTCAGATGATTCTTATAACCATGCACAAAAAGTGTGGAATACATTCAATCTCAAAAACATGGGTGATTATCACGACCTGTATCTGAAATCAGACGTTTTATTATTAGCAGATGTATTCGAAAATTTTCGAACAACATGTCTTGAATACTATAACTTAGACCCATGTCATTATTTTACATCACCAGGGCTGTCGTGGGATGCTATGCTTAAAATGACAGATATTAAATTAGAATTAATGACAGATATTGATATGTTTCAATTTATTGAAAAGGGTATGAGAGGAGGTGTTTCTTATATTTCTAATCGATATGGTAAAGCTAATAACAAGTATATGGAAACATTTGATAAGAATAAACCATCAAAATATATAATGTATCTTGACGCAAACAATTTATATGGATGGGCTATGTCACAATACCTACCTACTAGCGGTTTCAAATGGTTAACTGATAAACAGATTAACAACATAAATTTAGCCACATATAAAGAAGATAATAAAAAAGGTCTAATTTTAGAAGTTGATTTAGAATACACTGAAGAACTACATAATTTACATAACGATTATCCATTAGCACCCGAAAAAATTAAGGTCACTAGTGATATGTTATCAAAATATTGTAAGACAATTGCTTCTAATTACAATATATCAACAGGTTTAGTTAATAAGTTAATACCTACATTACAAAATAAAGAGAAGTATGTGCTACATTATAGAAATCTTCAATTATACTTAGATCTCGGGTTAAAATTAAAAAAAGTACATAGAGTACTTGAATTTAATCAATCTCCATGGTTGAAAAAATACATAGACTTTAATACTCAAAAAAGAACTAATGCAAAAAATTCTTTTGAAAAAGACTTCTTCAAATTAATGAATAATTCGGTATTTGGTAAAACTATGGAAAACTTACGAAAAAGAGTAGATGTTAGACTAGTAACTAATAAAAATAAATTATTAAAGTTGACTTCAAAACCTACTTATGTAAGTAGTAAAATATTCAATGAGAATCTTGTGGCTGTGCATAAGATAAGAGAAACACTAACCCTTAACAGACCTGCATTTGTGGGTATGTGTATATTAGATTTGAGTAAAACGTTGATGTATGATTTTCATTACAATTATATCAAAAAGCGGTATGGTGATAAAGCTAAATTATTATTCACTGATACCGATTCTCTGTTATGAAATAGAAACTGAAGATGCTTATAAAGATTTTGGGCTGATAAAGATAAATTTGATTTTAGTGATTACCCAGAAAATTCACAATATCATGATAAGACTAATAAAAGGTTATTGGTAAAATGAAAGATGAAGCCGCTGGAATAGTAGTTAAAGAATTTGTTGGTTTAAGAAGCAAGATGTATAGTTATATTAAAGATAATAATAAAGGAGATAAGAAAGCTAAAGGAATTAAGAAAAATATTATTAAAAACAAAATAAAACATGAAGACTATAAACAAACACTATTTGAAAAGAAACAAATACATCATACAATGAAAACTATCAGAAGTGTGAACCATCAACTTAATAGTTATGAAATTAATAAAGTATCACTCAGCTGTTTTGATGATAAACGGTATATATTAGCTAATGGATGTAAAAGTTATGCTTATGGTCATTATCTTATCAATTCAAATAACTAAATATTAACAAACAGTTATAATGTGTAGTAAGCATGTAGCGTGGGCCTCTGTTAGAGTAAAATCATACATACCTGCTCCTCATGTTTGACTACATATCACATAACTGTTTGTAATAAGTAATTAATACAAAAGCGATATACAAAAAGATTCAAAATCCTGAAACAATTAGTAAAAACACTTTTAACAAAAATTATATAAAACATTGTTAAACATGTACTTGACAGACAAATTAAAAAAACATATAGATTCCATAGTTTTGTAAAACATTGTATTATTATACATGCGCTGATGAAATGTGCTATCTACATTAAACAACCATTGTTGAAAAACATGCACTAAGACACGCGCGCCGCTACAAAACCAGCTATATTTTACCCATTGTCGCGATTTAGCTTCGCTAAATCAACATTGTCCTGGCAGGGCCTTGTTAACACTTGATTTTTGAAGAACATTTTTTAAGCCTCTGTTATTCTCGAATATTCTTCGAATATTCTTCGAATATTCTTCGAATCCAATGGGAGGCGACCCCAATTTTTCACTTCGTGAAAAATTTTCCCACCGTCGCCTAGAATTATCGGGGGCTCCATCCCCTGCTCGATCACTTCGTGATCTGCGCTGCCGAGCCCCCTCAAAACCAATGCTTTCTTAACAATTAATTCTTAAAGACGGTTTTTTAAAGAGCATTTTTTAAGCCTCTGTTATTCTCGAATATTCTTCGAATATTCTTCGAATCTGTGGGGGAACCCCGAATTTTTCACTTCGTGAAAAATTTTCCCCACCTGGGTTCCAGAATTCTCGGGGGATCCATTCCCCTGCTCAATTTTAGCTACGCTAAAATTTGCGCTGCCGATCCCCCTCCGAACTGATGCTTTCTTAACATTTGTTTGTAAAGACCGTTTTTAAAAACATATATATTCCATATTTTTTAAACGATTAATTGTAACCTCGAGATTTTTACCCCCTTTGAAACAATGACTATTTTTTACACAGCTTTTTTACATGACCTTTTACCAGAGGGACGTCTTTGAACCATGGTCTTATTTTACGTTGTTATAAAGATAGTTTTTACCCAAGGTTATATGTAGTATAGTACATGTATGGGATAAAAAAGTAAACTTTTGATCCCCATGTACTATACTACTATTATTGTGCATTACTTACAGTTTTTTGGAATTGTGTAATATATGTTATGAACAAGATATAATTTTTCAAAAATGCTAACCCCTTCCAGCACTACTACTCTTCTGTTTTGCTTAAACAACTTACAGCTACCAATACTAATTATTTCTATGTACAAACTAACATTTGGGAATTAAATGATAAACAACTTGTTAAATCTTTGTATTTTACATCAAGCCTTTGAATTAGTTCCTTTTATCTCTTGGTAAAAAAAATATTAATGAAAGACTTACAAATCAAGTTTCTCGAAAATAGTATTTTGTACAAAGAAACTAAATAATTGGAAAGGTCACATGTTGAAGACAGACAAACTCGATAAAAATTGACAGCTTCGCCACGTCTGGCGAGCGATTAAGTGAAGAACAAACAAGACTGGACCAAAATAACTTTAAATTAAAACTTAGTAGTAGAAACACTCTTCAAGTATCGTGTTAAAAACAAAATAGTAAAACTAATACTGTGCTACTTACCGGAGTCAAGAAATGTTCCCTTTTCTGTCGCTATTTCAGCATCCGCAAACCACAAAAGTTGGCAGTTTAATAAATGAAGTTTTAAAAAAGTGTTTATGTTAGGAAAATAAATAGTTTTGATATTTTCTATACTCGCAATCGTGGTGGTCAAATCTGGGTGGGCGACAAAAATTTTATTTCATGAGCCCGCGTCTCTCCGCTGACTTTGACCACCAAAATCCGCCATGTTTTTGACCACGCGGCCGCGCGCTAATAATTTATACTAATTTTGTTGACTTTTCCCCTCCAGTTATTAGGGTGTTTTAGCAGAGCCTACGAGTACGACCATTGAGCTCTAAAAGACCTGGAGGGGCAAAGGGGCCTGGACCCCGTGGTCAAAAACATGGCGGTAATGGCGGATTTTGGTTGTCAAAACTTCCACTTTAAAAATTTTTTTCAATATTCACTCCCTCCTGATTTATATGTTTTTACGTAAACATGGCGTTGAATTATTACGGCACATGTAGATTGATATTACGAATAAAATTCAAGGTAAGAAAGTTTGAATATTTTCGATAGAAATCAGTAAAGTTGTTTTAAATTTTGAGATGTAATCGTGTCGGTTATATAGCTGGTGATTAAAACCTGCGAAAATCAAAGATGTCAATATTTAACGTTTTTTAAAAACACCAATACTCACCTTAACTACAAATGTTGGTAAATATTTTCTTTTAACTGCCTTTCATGATTAAATTGATTGGTCATAATTTAAAATTTGGGCAAATACCTATTATCAAACGGCTCATGACACGTTTTTATAAAATAAAACCATTTAAAGATGGATTTCAAAATGGCAAATACCATGGTGAATGGTGATAATAACAATAGTTCTTAAAAGAACAGTTTTAACCAGAACACTAATCCAACAATTCAAAGGAACCGTTATTTACAGCTAGAAAGAGGCACTATGCATTTCGGCAGACTACTCGTAAATAAAACCATTGTTCTCACGATATAACTTACTTAGAGTGCGAGCACTGTAGTGAAGTATAATGCAAACAAAAAACAGGTGCCTTTAACGGATATTAGCTTCAAGTAAACCAATAAACTTACTCTAAACTTAAATTTTTTTTAGATTTATTAAGTGAATAAGATTTACATTCGATATAAGGCTTGTCTGTATACAACTATTTAGTGAAAATTGTGAATTTCTGCAAAAAGGTAAAAGCAATCCATATAATAATATGTATGTATTAAATGCTGTGTCAATGTTGGTCTATATCTTATTATAACAGGGTGCTGTTAAAGCAGTTGTACCAAGTATAATCAAAGGAAATTGAAAAAGAAAATGAACTTGCCAAAGTAGAAATGAATCCAATATATCTTAAAAGAAATATGTAAAAATATAAATAAAATAAATTGTAATATCCAATAACATATAATAAGCAAATATAGTAATAACACAATGAACACAATTAACGTTGTTTTTAAATAAACTACATTAATTTGCCTTTAAATTGGCAATTTTTGAAAACATTTGTCACTCTTCTTCGAGTAGATGAAATTTTTCTGGCTAAAATAGGGCATGTTTGTTTAACATGCCCTTTCTTTTTGCAATATCGACACATCATTCCTAAAAAATATTAATGTTTCTGATTGTTATATTAACAAGAGTCTATACTACAAAAATGTGAACCTACTTGCTCTGCATTCAGTTATGTGGTAGCAAAAAAGACCACACTTCTGACATCTGCCTATGGAAATTGAAAAAATTGTAATTCTTACAACAAAGTATTTAACAAATTATGATATTATGTACCATACCATGAAATTTGTTTCTTCTATCTGTAATGTAACAAAGGTAATACAATGTTAAAATATTATTAATCAAGTAGGGTCATAAAAAATTTTTATATTTCAAAACATTTTAAACATATTCAGTAGAAAAATATTAATGTCATACTTTGGGATGGACCACCATCAGTCCCCACCACACTTGTAGTGCTTTCCTCTTCATGTGCTGCAATTGGAAAATATTGTCTATTAAAATATAAGTTATTACAACAAAGTCTTTAATGAATTGCAATATAAAGTAAATGGTTTGAACCCGGGAGTATCGTTACATGTTTGTAAATGTAGATCGTCCAGGTTGGTATAGTCCTGAGAAGGACTGTTTTTGTTGATGAAGACTGACGTTTTGACAACCTTAGCGGTAGACATCTTCAGAGTCAATTGACTCTGAAGATGTAGGGTTAAAAATATTCAATATATATTCAGTAAATATTCAGTAAATCAATTAGGGTTAAAATATTCAGTAGAAAAAGATTAATGTCATACTTTGGGATGGACAACCACCAGTCCCCACCATACTTGTAGTGCTTTCCTCTTCATGTGCTGCAATTGGAAAATATTGTCTATTAAAATATAAGTTATTACAACAAAGTCTTCAACGAATTGCAATATATTACATCATACCATTAAATTTGTTTCTTCTATCTGTAAAATAATAAAGTATTACAATAATATAAATCAAGTAGGGTTAAAAATATTCTGTAGAAAACGATTAAAGTCATACTTTTGGATGGACCACCACCAGTCCCCACCACACTTGTAGTGCTCTCTTCTTCATATGCTGCAATTGGAAAATATTATCTATTGCAGACTTCAAATGTATTTGAATGTTTTCACTGTAAAACCTAACATTTCAAAAATATAATAAGTATTTTACAGTTTGCAGTACAGAATAGGGTTGTCATTCTTATTTCTTTGTTGTTTATTTATATTTCATTTCCAATTTCAATATGATTGTACTGGCACTACTGGAAGTTTTTTTAGTGGTATGAGAATTGGTAGAGATACCATAGGATGACCACATGACTTTTTCTTTTGTGGTCTCTTTGTTGGTCTGTAGCATCATCAACTTCTGCAAGTATATTAAGTGTAAGAACAACAAATAGTTAAACTGAAAAATATAACTCACAAAACATACCCATTACACGTTCGTTTTTCTTTCCTTCTGCCACTATACAAAGAGATTAAGTAATTTCTTTGTATAAGTTTATGTTTAACATTAGTATTTGAACATATGATTTATAAACAAAACAGTAGCATGAATGCTTACTTCTCTTTTATTTTAACTGTGTTTGCGAGACTAAAAAACAAGCAACACCGATGTTGAACATAAAAATAAGTTGCCCGAAAAAACGCGCTTTTTGTGTTAAATATAATACAGCACCGATATATTTCGACTAAATATGTGAATTACAGAAAAGCATTGTAAAAGCGAGAATGACAAGGATAAAAAAGGCAATAGTAAAAAAATCGACTTACCAAAACAAAGACTTGTCAAATTTCAAAAACGACTCTTTAAATTTTCCCGCCTCCAAGACCAAGAGTAATTTAAAGTGCGTGGTCTTCACGCGTGTATATCTCGAGAATGCAGAAACACATGCCAGCATAAAAAATAAAACTCAAATTAATTTTTAGCAAAATAACCTTTTGAATATTAGAGAACATGGATTAACTTACTTGGTAACGATAAATAACTTTAAAGATGCATTATCGCAGTTACTTTTGCATTCTATTTGCTAAGACGCTTCGTGTACGAAAGACATATGGAATTATTATGTCTTGTAACAGACATATGGGACCTAGAAAGCACAAATGTGCCCATTAACACCCATATAACACGTACGTGCGTAAAGCCATGGGACCTAGAAAGCACAAACGTGCCCAGTAACACCCATGTAACACGTACGTAAGTAAAGCCATGGGACCTAGAAAGCACAAATGTGCCCAGTAACACCCATGTAACATTCACGTGAACATAACTAATACGTTCACACGAGTAATTGTTTTAAATTCTACTGATGTTTGAACAATACTAGTTTGCTCAGTTTTTTCTGATTTTATTTCCTTGAATTTTATGGTTCTCTGTCTTACACAGATGATGCATTCGTATCTTCACGAAAGCGTCACTACAACATTTAATCAACTTTAAGATATGATCTTCTGTAACAACAGAATCATGTACATGCTGGTTCAATGAACTAAAAACGTTTCTCTCCACACATTCAGTTAAAACAGTGTTGGAGATTGCACCTGTGATATGCGAACAATGCGGCAAACTTCCGTTGCAAGAATTAATCATTCGCATAACGCATTTCTCGGTCTCATGACACACTTTTAGAAGATCAACTGTTGGTATTTTTAGGCCACCATGAGTCTTCCAAGACACAAAGAGTTCTGGAGCCCTGTTTGTCGATGTATGCAAAGCAGCAATACAATCTTGGCAAGTGATCTTTCTTGCAACCATTTTAACAACATAGCCAGCAATGTAAGAAATAGCTGCTTCCTTATACTCAGACAAAGCAATGAAGTTGGGCACGTCACAATAGTCATGCTCTTCTTCAATTGGTTTTCGCAACTTCATATCATATCGTCTTGCCGTTGTCACATCAGAAATATCTGCCGATATTTCATTTGTCTCGCAACGATCATTTACTTTTGTCAAGATTTCAGTGCTATCTTGAGCAATACAGTTTCCATGTCCTCCTTTGATCTTATGTCTCATCAATAGTTGCTTGTATGCAGCTTTAAACTGACGTGGTGTTGGATTGTTATTCCATCCACCCGCTGCTCGTACAGCTGAAAAGAAAAGCTCTAAGTGATCTTGACTCATTTTGTACGTCAACAAATACCTGAGAACTGGTTTTTCCGAAACAACGAGTTCCTCTGTTAATTCCTTAACGGCATCAATGCACATGAGGAATCCGAGAAATCCAGTTTTTTTCTTATGCAAGAGATTTGACTTGCCATCAGCAGTCTTCAATTCTCTTATGTAATCTACAGGTTGATTTAAAAAATCCTTTATGTACGTATAATTGCACATTCTAATTGGTGCCTTGTAGTTCTTAGCTTTGGGATTTCTAGAGTTAAGAACATCAAACAAGCGATCAAATATACGAATAAAGTGCACAGTTGCACCGCATCCTTTAAACTGTTGAAGTTTTAACATACCTTCACAATATTCTAATGCATCAGCTACACTAGAACTGAGTGCTTGCACAGCTAGATTGACTTTCATTTTTTGTGAATGCCAATGAATATGACAGGAGCGAAGCTTGTTTGCTAAGCGCAAACCCTCTGACTCCTGCAGCTCAACTAGTTTAATCAAATAATCCCACCTTATCAGGTTATTGTTTGCATCCTTCAATTCTCCCAATTGGGTCAATGCACCTCTCACCAATTTGATCATGTGACATACATCTAAAAAAGTATAAATTTTTAAACGTGAATCACATGGATGCAAAAAGTATGCTTGAAAATTATCTGGAGAGAGTTTTGCTCCAAGAATCTTCATCATTGTTTGATGAGAAGATGGACCATCAGCAGTTAAGCTGGTGACTCTAACACCAACATCATGTAGTCTGGCAATACATTCTCTAGACAGGTCAGCTTTCATCTGTCCAGAAATGCCATCAGTTAGAAAGTAACCAACAGGAACTTTCCACGAAGAATCAAGACGAACAGCCATATATACTAAGGCTTCTGTTGCTTCAGGCAGTGAGTCATCATCATTTATGCCGGTTCCCATGTCGACAAAGCCAAAGACTTTGTCTCCATCAAACTCAACATGTTTGCGAATTGCCATTTCATCCAACATTAAGGCACATAGAAGGTATTTTCCTTCCTTTTTAGCTTCTTCAGCCTTAAATTTCAGTGCAACAAATGCATCTCGATTGAATCCTGGATCACCATCAATTGGATTATACCAAGTGCGGATTGTTCTTGGATGAGGCAAAGCTAAATTAAACTTTTCTCGTACATAGTCATAAGCTTTCCTGGAATAAAATTTTAATGTAAGAGCAAATGATCTTAGCTCAGGGGGGTAGGAAACACGTGTTTTATCTTCATGTGTTAACTTATTAAATATATCCCTTGACACTCCTGAAAGGGTATTGTTAAGAATTTCAGCCTGATCAACATTAACAAAACCTTCCTCTGTTAAACTTGAAACAACGGAAGACATATCATTGACTTTCATTCTCAGTCTACCATTTTGCATCCTGCTGTTCTTAAGTTTTTTCTTAAGTGACTCAGCTTTCTCAATGACCTCCTCTAACTGACGCTTCAGTCTATAAGGAGATTGACAACTGTATGTATGATCATGCAATAAACAGTTGAAATTGATCACCTGACTATCATGTTCTTCAATAGTACAGTCATTCTGGGTCAAATTTATTTGATTATCATCCATGACTAAATCTGGCATGGGCACAAGGCTTTTTTCAAATTCAACCTCCTCACTTACAATAGATTTTCCAATACATACTTCATTCACAGGAATATTGAGTTGTGTTTCTATATAACTAGCAGCATCTAGTAAACCTTTAGCCCCTTCATCACTGTAGTCTATATTCTGTTAATTTGTGCAAAAACAAAAAGCTTTAAGGACACATTAAAAATTTAGATACTTCTATTGTATGACACATACCACAGCATTTTTGAATATAGTTGGCACCGCATTCAGTTTTAACACAACTCTATTCCCGACTGTTTCCTTCATATGGTCAGAAAAATGTTCTGAACAAATCCGACTCCATTTCTTTGGGGCAAACTCATTCATAGTTCGAGAGTTTTGCTTAATGCTAGACACCCACATCTCCAAAAGATGTGGGTGTTTTGCTGCATCTGGAAAGCTATAATGAGAAGAAAGTTTGAGATAAATACAATTCAAATTAAAGATTATGCTTTTAAAAAATTACAAAAACTACAAACGAAATGGTATCACGCCATCAAACGACAAAATTACAAAAACAAAGTGCTTTTTTTTGAGCAATAAATAATATTATTTTGCCTACCGGTGCCATAAAAGTTTCCATTTCTTGTACTATTTCCACAACCATACACCACACAAGTTATAGGCATATTTGCGGATAAAATTGAACAATAAGTTTCGAAAAGAAAGGTATAGTATATCGCCAATGTTATTGCAATTGTAATCACTGTTGTAATCGCAATAAAGTGGTTGTCAAAATCCGGGTGGGCGACAAAAATTTCATTGTATGAGCCCGCGTCTCTCCGCTGACTTTGACAACCAAAATCCGCCATGTTTTTGACCACGCGGCCGCGCGATAATAATTTATAGTAATTTTGATGACGTTTCCCCTCCAGGTCTTATAGAACTCAATGAGTACGACTACGAGTACGATTACGTCATTTTGGGGCGAAAACATTGTTGCGACCACAAAAATACGTAGCCGTTATCAATCTGAGTACGATGTTTTGTAAAAAATTCGTAGTCGCGACTACGATGTCTTTTTAAGAAAAGAAAGTAGGTATATTTCTTCATTCTGTAAGAAATTAGTTTACAGCACTATTTTCGAGCATCCAGGCTTTAATTTAGAACCCTTTTTGAGCGAAGATGTACATTAAAAAGGAAAACATGACCTGCAAAACTTTCATGTATTTCGTACGCAAAGTGAAAGGTAAACAAACAATAAAATAGTACACATATATTGTACATAAAACTTAAAATAGTGAAGATTTTTCAGTCTAAAGAGTCCTATATTCTCGCACAACCAGTATTGTCGATTCTTTGATATCATGATTGACAAATAGAGCCGTAGCTGCTTCGCAAACGTCGGTGTTTTACACAATAAAAAGGCTCGTACTGTTGTTTACAACTAAAGCAAAATTTTGACGAAGCGACAACGACAACAAACTTCCTCGTGCCATTCCCTTACACGGTCAAATTTCGTATTCGTTCTCGTAGTCGTATCTCTTGCTAAAACTCCCTAATATCAGCCGCGATTCGACCACACGCGTGGTAAAAATATCGAACATAACAAACCGAGATATCAAACATATATCAAAATCAAAAATAATATTGTCTGCACCCATTGAGTTCTATAATAACTGGAGCGGCTATCTCAAGCGCGGCCTTAGATATCTGATGATGCCAAAAAAATGGCGGATTTCGTCCTTTGCCGCTGAGATTTACCGAAATTGACCGCTTTTCCGAAAATTTCACAATTTCCCACTCCCTCCTGAGAAAAGAGTGAGGAAAATGTATGTGTGTATTTGGGATTCGGCAAGCAATTTTTTGTTGAAAATCAAGGTAAAAACCTTAAATTCATAACAGCGAGTCAACTGTGGTTGTCAGTTATCTGCTGGTACGAGGATGCATTTATAACTATCGACGAAAGACCTATATGTCGGCTACACATATATGAATGCAGATGTGCGTCGTTTTTTTACCAGCATCAAACTTGTTTGATCGATTAAACTCTTTAGTCTATACAAAAAAGTATATCACAGTTCATCTCCACGGTTCACGAGAGAGAAGTTAGCTTATTTGTTATCATTGCTATTTTGCTTCTTTTCATGATGCAATGGGTAATGGCTGTTTTCGCCACAATTGTTGGATTTTTACTTGTTTCTTTAAAAAAGTAAATATTAAATCTCTGGATATTTACGGATTTTCTGTAATTGAGTTTCATTTAAATTTCAAAGAGACTCAAGTCTGCATAGATTTGGTAAATGAAAACAAACAATATTGTATAGAAATTACTTTAAGTAACC